TATATATATATATATATTTAAATTCCTTAAAATATAATTTAATGTTTTTTGCTAAAAATCAACATGAATAGGGATGAGAGGATATGGATTTTAAAACTATACTTTGATAAATTATTGAATTAAAGCTGTGAAATAATTTTTTTTTTTAAAGATTTATTTATTTGTGCATACAGAACTGGGGTACAGGCCAGAGACTCAGGGGTGGCGAAAGACTTCACCAGAGACAGAGCGGGGAGCAGAACAGGCAGATCGACGAAGTACACTGCTGAGGGGTGCAGCGGGCGGGTCAGGAGAGGTCTGCCACGCCATGTGGTCACCTCCGGGGCAGGCGGGAATCGAACTCATGCGGAAGTGGTTTCAGCTTCCCAGTGCAGTGCTTTAACCCACTGCGCCACCAGGGAGGGCCTGTGAAATAATTTTAAATTAAAATAAAACAGAATTTTTCATAGTACCAATTACCCAGAAATATATAACTGGGAGAAAAGATGGCACACTATGTTAAAGCATAGCACTATGAAGCTATCTACTGATATTACAGCACAAGTTCTATCCCTAGCCAGGGAGGTGACCCACAATCAGGGCAGACATCACCTTACCTACTTACTGCTCCCTTCAGCAGTGTATTTCATCCAATCTGCCTTTTCTACTCCCCATTCTATTTCTGGTGAATCCTCTAACTACCTTTACCTCTGGCCTGTAGCCCAGTTCTTATATGCATAAATAAATTTATATATATATATATATATATATATACGCAAACACATATACACATACACATATACTACACACACACACACACACACACACACATATATAAGCAATCAGGTATTTTATTTAAATCATATTGTTTTTCTTTAGGTCATTAAAAAAAGTCTCTCTGAAAAAATATTTTTAGAACATGTCTCACATGTACAACAAGAGACCTAGTAGAGATATTATTTTTGTTATTATAGATATTATATTAATGTTATTAATATGTATAAAGGTCATTTTGTGCTACCCTTTTCTGGGAGCTACTCTAGAAGTTAGATCTTTAAAAAGCTAGTTACATAAGGTAAGGTCCACTAGCCTAAGGACATAGAGGAGTCATGGTACCTGGGACTGTGTAAAGGAGAAGACACTTGCTTTGAATTTGACCAGGAAGGCAAAATCGACAAACAAAACTCAAATAAGCAAGGTTATGAGATTAAGTTTGCATGTCTTAGTAAATAATTTAAATGTTATGCTAAGTGAAGTAACTTACTTATTTTTAAATGGGAAACTGACATGCTTTGTTAATTGATTTGTAAATTTATTGGTTTTTATTGCAATTAGTTGTTCTACCTTGTGTCCCTGTAATTTCTATCATATCACATCTATATAACCTTCATTTCTGAAGAAGCACCATTTATCCAAATTCCTATTTGTCTTTGTTGGTTTGTTTATATTAAGAATATCCTAGCTTCTTTTATATTTATTGCATTTTATGTGTCAGATGTATATGTTATGTGTATATACATACATATATGTATATAGATACATACACACACACACACACACACACTTTAAAAATGACTCCAAAATTGCATTTTTGTTTTTGTATAAAAATATTTAACTACAGTTGTTTCTGGTTGCAAACTATTCAAATCTCAAATTTGCATTTAATAGTGTTTGCTTATTTGTTCTGTCAGGAATATTCTAGATTCTTATTTTTTTAATTATTCATAAACTAGTTTTTGTATCAACATGAAAGCATTTAATACTAAAATGTCCCTATGAATACAAATTTGAAAATATCCCATAAATTCACATACCTTATTTTTTTAACTTGTAAATTTGCTTTTCCATGCCATTCAGAGAATGGTTTTTGAAAAATTTTTCTTTATCTATATATTATATGCTGGTTATAAATATTCAAAAGCAATCACAATTAGTATAGAAAATCTAACTTACATATTATTTACACATTTTAAAATTTGACATAAATTTTACTTTTTTATTTTCGTTTATTTTAAAGATTTATTATTTATGCATGCAGAGCTTGGGTACAGACCAGAAGTACAGGTGAGAGGATTCATCACAGGCAGAGAGGGGATCAGAACAGGCAGTAAGACGAAGTACACTGCTGAGGGGAGCAGTGAGCAAAACAGGAGAGGTCTGCTGTGCCATGTGGGTCACTTTGGGACAGGGATTGAACTAGTACTGAAGTGGCCGCTACTAACTTCACAGTACTGAAGCTTTACACTATTGCAATACCAAAGAGGCCTTAGATTTTACTTTTAAAAACATATTATACTGCTTTCTGTTTTACAAATTAAATTTAATGAGCTTATTTGTGTGGGTGGATCAATATAACAACATTTTGAAACATTTTTCTTTACCAAAAATGCAATATGTTCCTTTAAGATTATTTTGAAATTATCTAAATTATCACTAGGTACATGACAGAGTTATTTAATATCTTTATGTATAACTGATCTATTTTTATTTTAGAAATGAGTTAAATCATCTGAATGTATCTTTATAATGTGAATAATATTTTTATATAATGTTAATGATTATTTTTAGGAAAAATTAATAATATTGCAAGTTTTATCAATATTGATAAAACATAATTATTTACCAATTGATTTTTGGCATTTATTTGTACCATGCCTAATATTCACAGTGTGTGATTATTTTCCAAATTTGTATGTGTGATACATATTTGCTTTCTGTTATGTCTATGCTCATTTACATATATTTCTTAAATGCAGTGCAGCTGAATTTTTAATATGTGGGCAGTTGTCATGCATTCCATTGTTAAGAGATTTAATAAAAGTGATTTTTTTTCATATAACTTTAATAAAGTATAAGCATTATTGAGGGATCTGTATGTAGTGCACTTGAGAATATCTATTCACAGATTCACACCTTTTTCACATAATAATTAGAGCTTCGTTTTACTTTATTATGTTCACAGAGTCTAAACCAACAAAATATTGCTGCAGAATGAGTAAATATAATATTTCTACAAATTATTGTTCCTTTCATCTAAAATGATTTAAAAGTGGTTCTAAGGTTCAAAATAAACTGATAGCAAAAACATAATAACTACAGTAGTTGACAAGTCTGATCGCTATTTGAAGTTTAAATTCACTGCCAGCTTTCATTTTCTCTTCCTCTTTTATTCCTTTTATCTTTCTCATAAATAATATTTACACTTAGTAATAATGATTACTGACACTCTCCCTTGTAGATTTGATGAACTCAGACACGAGTGAGCATGTGGAGATAGATATATTTTAGTGCAGATATTCTTCTGAAGGGCCTGTGAATTCATGCAAAATATATGTATGTTAAAGTCTTTAATAATTTTAAAGTCAGTTAAATTCCTACTTTTGGTTAGGATTACAAACTAGGGAATCTATAATGTTTGAGCATTATCTTAAAGACTTATAATTTAAGAATTTCCATTGTTTCCAATTTTTACTGTGTTTAATGTAGTATGCTATCTAATAAATCAAGATTTTATGTTCCTTGTCACTCATACACCTTTTCTAGTTCATTGCTTCACATTATTTCTGGATTGAACACTCTTCCCCCATGGCACATAAACTGAAATGCTGAAAAGCAAAGGTTGCTGCAATCATTTCTCTGAATTGCAAAGGATTTAATAAACTGTGTTCATATAACAGCCTTAGTAAATGGCTTTAAATGAGTAAGTATTATTTTAAATTAAAATATTGTAATACAGGATACATTCAATAGGAAAGGAAAAAGGGGGACCCAGAAACTCCAAATTTGCTCACTCTAAATAGGTTTTATCCTCTACTATGCATTATGACAAAACATACTCCTGTTCATAAGACCTTTAATGGAACATACTATAATACTATTGTGCGTAATACAGAAAAGGGGGAGAATAAAGCTTCTAAATCAAACACCCAAAGTTACCCATCTCCTCATGCATATGGGTAAATGTCCAGCCAAACAAGTTTGGCCCAAACAAAACCCCTAAATCTTGCCACAAATCTAAACACCTTCTGGTGGAGATCCACAGAAAAGGGTCAAAAGGAGCCCAAAGTTTCTAGGACCAAAGGAGCAAAATCCAGATAAAAGCTGCCATCATTAACTTCGCAAAAGGCCACTAGCCCACCTGCATTTCAGCCAGTTCTGTCCAAGGAGCTAGCTAGTTTATGCTCCCTGTTCCTCCTCAAAAAATCCTTCTCACTCTCTTTACTTCTTGAATGTTTTTCTCCAATCCTCTCCCCTCCTACTTTTTCTCACCTTGAGCTTCACTATTTCTTGGGTTGGGCAAGAAACCTGAAATCTCCACTTTTCCTGGCTACCACCCTGTTACATAAATACAAATCTATACAGGATGCCAATGAAAACATTATCCAATACATTAGTTAATATTCACATAGACATTTTTCCAAGTAAAATTTTCTGCTGTAAATTATGTATGTAAGCTAGATGCATTAAATAAGATTTATTATTATAAATGAGTGCCATAACATATATTTACATTCTATTATTATTAAGCATGCATTTAACATAATTTGATAATAACAATATAATTTTCTTATAATATGTAACATTTTATTAAACTACTTTTATGTACTGAGAGAAGCTGATAAAAGTTAAAAATGGGTGTGCGGCCCTCCCTGGTGGCGCAGCGGGTTAAAGCACAGCACTGAGAAGCTTAAGCCACTTCCGCATGAGTTCGATTCCCGCCTGCCCCGGAGGTGACCACATGGCGTGGCAGACATTTCCTGACCCGCCCACTGCTCCTCTCAGCAGTGTACTTTGTAGATCTTCCTTTTCTGCTCCCCCCTCTATCTCTGGTAAAGCCTCTCGCCGCCCCTGAGCCTCTGGCCTGTACCCCCATTCTGAATGAACAACTAAATAAATCTTAAAAAAAAAAAAATGGGTATGCAGTATTTGAGGAAAATGACATCTGCAATCAAAATTATTTTTCACTTGCCATAAGAAATGCTGAAAATTTAGATTAATACCCTCCATCTCATGTTTTACAGGAAATACTGATGAAGTAGAACGAGAGTGGAAAGCAGGATTCCATCGCTGGAACAATTACATGATGGATTGGAAAAATCAATTTAACGATTATACTAGTAAGAAAGAAAGTTGTGCAGGTCTCTAATTAATAGGTTCACGCTTTTCCTATAGGTTCCTTTTCCTATAGATAAATGAAAAATATATAATCAGTTATTTTACACACCTAGTAAGAAAATTGTATCACAGAAACAAGGATTATATCGATTATTTACATCTTTTACTTGGAGTGTAGTTAACAGTTTGACACCCAAATGACTAGAACATCTTTGGTTAAGTTTCACAATGAATGTTTGACAATTAATTTTATGAATATTAAATAATTTACAGCTTCAAACTTTCTCTTTCCTGAATAACTTTAAGATCATTTCTTCTAAAAAAAATCTGCATTGTATTTGAGCTGTTTCTCGCTAATTTTATTGCCAATTACTAAAAAAAGTTTATTTTCAAAATTAATTAGGTCTTGAAACACTTAATATTATAATTTATAATATTTCTTCTTATCGATTCATGAATTTAATATCAATGACAGATATTAAAGCAAATACAGGGAATATTTGACACTCTCTTTGTATAAAGAAAGATGGAATTTTAGAATAACAGGTGAGGTCAATTGCAAACTCCAAGACAAAACAAAATCTTGCCGCCAACTGATAAAATGTAGATAATACAATCACTTCTGTTTTCTACTTTTAAAATATATGTGTAGAGGAAGTTGAGTTAAATCAGGCTTTTTTTCTGTCCCTGTGCTGGCCTCTGAAATTACCACCCAAAATCTTGCATTCCGCTTTGGCTTCCTCATGGATTCGGTGGCCAGAGGTATGGATATGGGGCACGGACACCTATGATTATGGACACCTGGGCCCAGAGAGCACAGAACATCTGTGCATATATTCACCTGTGAGCGGGGATGAACGTGGCTCCTCAGTTCTGAGGAGATCAAGCTTATGAGGGGGGAGACAGAACTGCAGAGAGGAGACAGAGCACAGAGAACATGGGGTAGGTGGGGCTGGGAGGTATGAATGTCCCTGAGTTGCAGAAAGCACTAACTATGCTGCTGGAGTACAGGGTCTATAGCTTCAGAACAAGTTGACACTGTGGGTCACCTGAGACCTTGTGCAGAGAAGGCGATAGCCTACAAGGATCATCCTACTACCCCTGAATCAACAGACACATCAGGGAAAAAAAAAATGAAAGAACCCTGTCTGTCATTTGGAGCCCACCCATGGTAACTCAAAGCCGATAGACTTGGACACACAATTCCATCGGAAGTCAGGTATATGGCATGTTGGCTGTTATGTCTGTGGGATCTGGTGGGGTAGAAAGGATCACTCTCTAGCACCTGCCACAAGGTGAAAATCAAAGGGTGGCCAGTGGACCTCCCTCGGTAGGCTCGAGAGCCTCCCAAGACAGGCTGAGCAAGGAAGCTGTTGCTAGACCCTCTGCAGCCACATGAGTGATGTATCAAAAAGCCAGGCTAGTTAAGGCCCAAGGCTGGTGCCAGGTCAGGTATCCCTAAGTGGTTGGTAAGCAGCCAAACGGATACTGAAAAAGATAAGATAGTCTTTGGGTCTTTTAAAATCACTCATGGGTGATGACCTGTTCACTGCTGAACAGGATTAGGCCCAGAAACCCATCCATAGAAAACAGGAGGGGACCAGAGGCCACATGTGGAGCTTCGTATCCACTGGGCCCCAGACCAGGTGCATCTGTCCAGGATTAACCTTAGTTCAGGAGTCTGCTTTTTATATTGACAACTATGGAGGCTGGAATGTCAAGGTGACAGCAGTAAGAATACCCCGGGTTTTGGGCAATACCCTAAAAGGAGTAAAGTGGAAGTGTTGCCAATCTCAGGGTGCAGCCTGGGGGTGGATGTACTCCACAGTTTGTGGCTGGAGAACACAGCCAGATGATTTCACCTGAGCGTACATGTGGTGAAGGCAGTTTTACATGCACAAAATTGAGCTGCCCACACAAATGTTAGCCCCTAGGTGAGAGACCAATACTAAAGCATATGGGTTGCCAAGAGGCCATCAGGTTATGATGGTCACTATACTATACTTGGAGAAAGTGGGCATTGTGTGTTCTGCCCACAGTTCCTATAAGTTACCTGCGTGGACAGTGAAGAAGACTGCTGACTCTTGGCATGTGAAGGTAGATCACCATAAGCTGCATAAAGCAGCACCTTCAGTTGCAATCTTGATAGATCATCTGAGCAGCAGACTGAACACGTATCCCTTTGAAGCTGATCTAGCTAATACCTCCATTTCCAATGCTATATAGTACCAGAGAGTCAAGACCAGTGTACCTTCATGCGGGAAGGCCAGCAGTGGACATTCACTTGTTTACTGTGGACATTAAAGAGAGGAGCAGAAAAGGCAGCCTGTTAACAATTTGTTTTACATTTGTGTGTAATGGATACAGTGTTCCACATTCTTCTCCAACTGAAACTTACAGGAAATACCTGGAAGATTATAGGGTGTTTAAAAAAAAAAAAAAAAAGCCCTGGGCAAGTAGTTGTAGGGAAAATGGATTCAAATTGGCCTCTTCTTTCGACTCTCCTTCCACACTGTCCTCCATAGCTAGCTCCTTCGGGCTTGCACACCCCCTAGGGAGCTGCTCGGATGCCTGGGCCAAGAGGTATGTGCACCTTTGATTATGCATACCTGGACCACACAGCTCGCAGCCTGCACACAGGTAAGTGGGAACACCTGTGCCTGCAATTGTGGGCTAAGAGTGGCTCCTCAGCTCTGGAGCTTGTGTCAGCAGCATGGCTTGTGGCTAGAGGGCCCAGTAGCTGTCTCCCCATCTGCACCTTTGTCATTTAAACCTGTAAAGTGATACTGAGGGCTCCACTATTCCCTTCTCATACCTGAGAATTGACAATGAAGCTACCCAGCTTGGGATGGTTGTGCAGCAAAATGTATGTTTGGATTTCTCATAGCCTCATTCTTTTAAATCTTGCATTTCCTCACTTCCAGAATCGCTCACAAATATGAACATGCAAACTATTCTAAAATATCCTTATTGTAACTTTTGCTAATATGGATTTGTAGAAGTCTACAATCATCAAAAGTCTAAACTCATCTCAGATAAATGAAATTTTTTTGTTTGTTTTTTTGTTTTTTGTTTTTGTTTTTAAAGTTTTATTCATTTATTTATGCACACAGAAGTGAGGTACAGGCCAGAGGTGAAGGGGAGGTGAGAGAATTCACCAGAGACAGAGTGGGGAGCAGAACAGGCAGATCAACAAAGAATACTGCTGAGGGGAGCAGTGGCAGTCAGGAGAGGTCTGCTGCGCCATGTGGGTCACCTCCGGGGACGCATACTGACATGGCTTTAGCTTCTTAGTGTTATGTTTATTACCCACTGCACCACCAGGGAATGCCCCAGTATTTTTTTTTTTAAGATTTTTATTTGTGCATACAGAATTGGGGTACAGACCAGAGATGCAGGGGAATTTAGATTATTCACCATAGACAGAGTAGGGAGCAGAAAAGGCAGATTGACAAAGTACACTGCTGAGGGGAGCAGTGGGT